TTTAAATCCGCCATTTTAGAAGCCATTTAGCAGGGCCCCGCGGTTTCCAGGAGGTAGCATCCGGGCTAATTTACCTCCAGTTTCTGAAGCACTATGACCGGAACTAACATTTAGTTTGATGCAAAAACAACCTTTTAATGTTTTTAACTCTGTAAAATGGCGTTTTTAAACAAAAACATGTTTTGAAGATTGTTTCAAACTCGCCGTTTCAAGTGGCTTTCGAATGGTCTAACCATGACTACGACCCGATATTTCGCGTCGAGTTGAGAGGGTGTTCTTTTATTGGGACACCCTATAGAGTTTTGTAGCCGCCAAATTCTCACTTTTCTTGCCGTTATTGCCATGACCGTTTTGCCCGCTTCCGCTGTCCTCGTCGCTGTCGTCGGTCCAACTGCCGACGCCGCCGCCTTTCCCGTCGTCTCCGCGACCTCCTCCTTTTCCACCGTTTCCGCCCGCCTTCCCTCCATTACCCCCGCTTCCGCCCTTGCGACCTTTCCCTGAAATGGATGGTTATGAGAAAACAGAAAGATTCCCAATATTTTCTAAAGGGTCGGCAAGAACAGACTGTAGATTTTGGCACTGGTCTGTTATCGGGGGGGAGGAAGCGGAAGACTTTTGGCAGGTCAGCCAATCTTTGTTTTGCCGCCTTTGCCCATATTTTGATAATCAATATATATTTTTCCAATACTTGTTGTAGGTTTGGACTGCCAAAAAACTTATCAAAGTAATTTCAAAATTTTAACTAAAAAATTTTGTCTTTTTGGGTCGTTTCAGCATACAGCTCGAACCAAAACTTTCATAATTTGTGGGAGTTTTTTTACCAGAAGACGATAGAAAATACTAGAAAAATCAGTTAAATTTCGTTATCTGCCGTACCGGATTACTTGGGTAAATTTGTCCAGTAAGCCCCCCGCTAACAGCCCAGTACTAATTTTCCGCGTTTTTTTCAGTACGGCGTGCGTCTCGCGGGCACGGTACAAATAGCAAAAACGCAGGCCGGACAAAATCCAAAGCAATGCCTTGCCGGTGCCCTTTAAAGCAGCCTAGACCTTACCCATTCCCAACGCCTCCATTAGCCATCGGCGTCGATGTTGATTGAGATCTGTAACGGGGATTATGACGGAAAATATCCATCTAGTACGCCTTATTTTAAGTAGCACAGTGTTTTCATATTTTTTTATCTTGTAGCGCTAAAAAGCTGCGTTGCGACATTTATTTCACTGTCGAAACCCACGTCCTGCGTGATGATCGTGCCGCCAGCACCCCCATCAGCCGGCACCGAGATCGGGATGTATGGGGCGTTCGGGTCGAAGGGCGGGAAAGCCGGCACATTTGGCGAGTCGTAACCTCCGTCAGGAGGGACCGCCCGGCTGGAGTTAGACCCTGAAATCCGACGTTATATAACTTTGGCGTGTAGTCCGTGTGTGTGGATTTCGCATTCGAGGCACGATTTGATGCCCTTCCTGTGCAAAATGCTCTAATTCTCCATCACTTCGGGGAATCGTCCCTGCTGTTTCCGATGGCGTTTTTAGCATCTGTCCTCCAAAGGACACCCCCCCCCCCAAACCCCTTCCCCTTCCCCCCCTCCTTCCCCCCCCCAACCCCAACTTCGCCTTGGGGCGGGGCGCGCGGGTCCCTTGGGGCCCCACGGAAGGGAAAAGGGGTTTGGTGTATAAGTGCTACGCAAAAAACCACACCCCTAATACCGCCACCCCCTAATAAAAAAACCCCAAACCCCCGAACACACCACTCGGCGCGAAATGTAGGTGCGACAGCATCCGATAAACCACAAGTTTACACAGTTGCAGCAGGTTTGATTCATTCTTGGGGGTCGGGCTGGACTAATTTGATAATGTCAAAAAAAGAAATTTCCTCATTCTTGCGAGCTGCACCCGCGCGTGTGGTCGTGAGAGGGACCCGGACCCGAAGGACCCGGGCTCTCAACTATAATAATTTTGCTGTGGTGTCTGTCTGTCTGCGCGCAGCCGAATTCAACCCGAGGTGGAAAGGAGCTAGAGCTTAGGTCTCGTCGGATTTGGATAGAGCGCGGTCAAAAACCGCAAACTGATAAAAAATTATCGAAAAGTTTTCGTTTAAATTATCAAATTTAACTTTGAAAGTGGCGCCTTAGTAAAAAAGTGGGGAGCGGCTATTTGCACCATTTTAGGCATAGTGAGCCAGGTCGCGCGCGTTTCGGCGAAGGGAGGGAGCGCAAGGGGAATGACCGAAGCCCATAGGGTGTCTACCAGCTGTAAGCGGCTGGCCAGAAAATCAAAATCTGCGCATTGGGAGCAGTTTAGCTCCCAAGGCCCAGGTTGCAAATAAAAAAAATGCCGTTTTCTAAGCTTTTCCGCTTTTTAAAGGAACGGGCAAGGTAGGTTTATGGATTTTGCCATGTTCACGAAGCGCTCCGGGCACCCTCCTTGGCGGCTCGTAATTAAATTTCCGGTTTAAACTTTCTGGCTGAGTATCCAAAACCCAACCATGTCATCCGCATCGTCCTGCGAGGCGACGTGAAGCGCCAATAGAATCACGACCCCGAAAATTCTCATATCCGCGTTGAAGTCCGCGTAAGCACGGCAGTAATCCAAATAAGTGAAGCGACGGGCCGAAGAAGGACGATGCCAAAGAATTCCCAGGCGGAGCCCCGTTTTATTGACCGGACAGTGCCTGATTTACGAGGGCCCGCGCGACGACACGCACCTCACAAATCGACTACGACGACAACGGGGTGTAAATGCAAATGCGCCGGGTCGTTGCCGGTGGGAAAACGGGGCACGAATTGGCACGTTTTAGTGGGAGTGATTCAGAACTTTTTGCAGGGGCACTCAGGGGTGTGGTTTTAAAGGAATCGTCAAGGTTTCAGTTTTAGGTTTTGAAGGGAGGGACGCAACGCACACGAAGTTGTCCACCATAGGGAGACGAATACAGGTCAATATTGTCGAATACTACAGGCTGCCCCAATAAAAAAAACACCTCCTCTACCTCGACGCGTAGGTATGGGATCGCAATGATAGCTACACCATTCGAAAGCCCTTGAAACGGCCAGCTTACAGGCATCTCCAAAGCCATATTTTTATTTAAACGCGTCATTTCATGGCTTATTTAAAAACATTAAGAAACGCCTTCTGCCTCTAAACAACGGAAACTTTTAGTCATTTTGCTTGGAGAACTTGCGGCGAATAAACCTGAAAATCTTAAAAAATGGCTTGTAAAATAGCGCGTTTAAATAAATACATGGTTTTGAAGACTGCTGCAAACTCGCCTTTTCAAGGGCTTCCATACGTTGAATTATCATTGCGATCAGATACTTCTGCGTCGAGTTAGAGGGGTGTGTTTTTATTGGGACACCTTGTATTTTTAATTTATATGCGTGATTTGCATAAATTCTGGTCATTCAAGCCATGTACGCTGGGGGACGGTCGCTTTTTCTGCGGTTTCTCTTAAATCATTGCCATTAAAGACTGCTACACTTCCCGAGCAACACCGATATGATTTCGTATCGTATGCCGTTAGGACAGAATCTTGTCGTAGTCAGTTGCGTCAATGGAAATGTTTGCCGAATTCGTAAGGGATCCGGGCCCCGTTTTACTCTACCCCCCTCTCATTATTTTAGGCCGGAATTCAAACTCTAGGGATATTTTTTGACGCACTATCGAATGGCGTTGAGAAATCCTGAAAAAAGATTGACAATATCAAAAACTCTGTGACCTTTCGGCTGTGGGCAGTGGGGTGGGTAAAGTAAGGTGACTAACGGACCCCAAACAACCCCAAAAAGTTTGAACTTTTTGAATTTCCGATCGCAAATCAAAGTTCTACGCCAAATCGTTTGGAACTTCACATGCAACTTTTAACGATGGGAACCGCCGGGAAGGAATTATGGCTTTAGTTGCATGTCGACCAGGGTGGTTCCCAGGGTGATATTACTGGTCGAATTGCTGTGGTTTAAATGGTTATAACTTGAGGGTGATGGCTTCTGAGTCTTCCTCGAATTTCAGAACCACTCTAAAGGGACCGGAGAGTCCGGGAATCGAGGTTTTGAAGCAGCTGGGTGTCGATAGCCAGGTATCGCCCAAAAGCCCATCGCTTCGACTGAAAAAGAAGGCAAAGCAAAACGAGTGAACTTGACGCAAAATCTGCTCACCTCGTGCCATTCCGTAATGGATTATAGAACGTCCAGGGTCGTTAAGCTATAGAACGTTACTGCGGGTCTATTCCGGTCGATTTCAGGACCAAAAGCCACACGCGGTGCGCTTATGATCTCTTCCGATCAAACGTCGTAAATCAAATAGCAGAAGCACTATAAAATGGATCCCAAGTTCTGCAGACGATCTTTGCTAGCCATCGTCCCGTTTCTGCTGCAGCTTCTTTTGCCGATTTTCGCACTGGGCGCAGAACCAACGACACCATGTGCGTGCTAGGACGATGAAGCCGACCGACACCCAGGATTTTTTCAGATTTTATGCGATGTCTGCGACGCCCGCTCCAAGTTGGCGACTCGTTCACGATGAGAGGGAGTCTGAAGCCAAACGCTAAATGGTGTTCAATTAATTGGGTTGTACTTTTATTCTAAGGTTCACCTGCGACCTGGAGACGAGCTTCTGGAATGGGGTCTACGCCCATATGCAGCAGCATTTCAATGATTGGAACAGGATTTGGTATACGCATAGTGGAAAGCCGGTATGTAGAAAGCGAAGAAAAGTCCCCCCCCCTCTCTCTCTCTCTCCTCTCTCTCTCTCTCTCCTCTCTCTCTCTCTCCTCTCCTTCTCTTTCCTCTCTCTCCCTCGTCTCTCTTCTCTTCCCCCCCTTCTCACTCCCTCTCTCTCTCTCTCTCTCCTCTCTCTCTCTCTCTCTCCCGGTTAGAGTTTATACAAATCATAAGCACGAAAAAGAAAAAAAACAATTTCTTAAGGTTTGGGCTCCACCCACTTTCTACAAGGTGCCCAACTTCAGCCCGGGATCGAGCTTTGAGATGAAAGTAACGTAAGTTTCGAGTTTGCCGATATCCTACTCAACTTTAAGGCGCTCACCAACCACAACACCTCAGAATTTCTAACGTTACAGTATCATCTCACCGACGACCATCGATATCAAATACGGCAAAACCTCGAAGTGGCCGGGCCAGACTTACACGCAAACGGGCACGCCGACCCCAATGAGCTCGGCGCTGCGTCTGTCGGTATATAACTTTCGTGATCATCCGACTCTGTCGTGAGTTTAGTGCTACGGCGATCTCCACAACGTTGAATTGAGCGGCGACAACCTGCATGGGAAGATTGTAAGTAAGGCTACAGCAGAAAATGACATCTAAGACCCTGATTTCGGGCACTCTTGGCTTTGCAAGAGAAAATCAATAGTAAAAAGTGTTAGAGGATCCCCGGTCAGCTAGCATCGACGGCTCCAAAAAACGCTGGAAAGCTTTTAGCAACCTTCGAAACAGGCTAGCTGGCGTGGATAGGTGCGAAACGTAATTGTCGAGACCTAGTAGACGAAAGGCGTCGATTCTGGCAGATATTATAGCTGCTGTGAAGAGAAATCTAGTGCCTAGTTTAGAGCAGCAGCAACCATGATACCTGCAGTTTCGAAGCTGGCGACGGACGTGGCCGGCACTCACATTTTCATTCTTCGGAACATTCGCATAAGGATGGGTGAGAGCAAAGTTTTCTCTCGCTCTCTCTCTCTCTCTCTCTCTCTCTCTTTTAAGAAGTTTGTTTCAGCGACACAAAATGGCCCTCAGATGGGGAGAAAGGCAATGGAAACAACAACGGCAAGAATAATGGTAATTCCGACAAAAACGGCAAGGGAGACATGGACATGGAAGAATTGGCAAAGCTGCTGGCGAAGAACCTCCAAATTGACGTCAATGTCAATCAGACAGTCGTCCAGGGAGAGGCCGCTCCCTTGGTTCCAGTTCCACCGATTCCGCCGGTTCTTGATTATTGATGAAATTCCAATAAAGTTATTAAACCCGTTATTATATATAGAGAGAGAGCTCCAGAGCGGAAGAGCGGCAGAGATAGAGCGAGAGAGCGTGAGAGAGAGTGAGAGAGAGTTAGAGAGCGCCGGATGTAGAGATAACGAAAGAGAACGAGAAAATGAGAAAAAGTGCGCAAGAGGGAGAGAAAGAAAGAGAGAGAGAGAGAGCCAGTGCCAGTGAGAGACAGATCCTCTGATATCGAGACTACCGTATTCCAACAGTTCCGGTTCTGTTTGACACACTTCTCCCACAATCATCCACGATTTATCGCTTGCCGCCGGCTTTACAATCCCGAAACAAAGTTCACGCCGGAAGAAGGTATAAATGACCTTTCCTGCGTCTTCTTTGTATTCTGCGCTGATGGTTTTGCTGTGGGTGTTAACTGCGATCTTCCCAATTTTAGTAGCCGGAGATCCGGTGCCGACGGCTCCATGTGAGATTCCAAATATTAATCAGTGATTTACGCATTTTCCGAAACCATAAGTCGTGTCCCTACGGCTCCGAGCACGCCTAAGAAACTGGCCAGCTCAAAGGGAAGCCTAATTTTTAGCCAAAGTCCAAGCGAAAACTAGGCCCAAGCCAGAGTCCAAACCTAATTTTTAGCTATCAAGTCTATTTTTTACCTTTCCGGACTTTCAACGATGCCTCCGCCGGCCAATGCGTATTGGTGATACCTTCACCGCTCGTGGAAATTTGATGCCGAATTTGCAGAGGTAGAAAAAAGTTAGTTGCATTCCAATCAACTCCAGATGGACGTGCGACCTGGAGACACAATACACGAAAAACATCTTCGTCCATTTGGATCATCAACTCTGGGGAGCGCCACTCATCGTCTACACCCATATGCCAGGATCAGGGGTAAAACTTTGTCGCTTGGGTAGAGGAATGTAAAGGCTCGTGCTCTCAAGAAGGTGCCGGCCAGCCCCAGCCTTGTATCACGATTTTCTATTCTAATTTCAAAAGTATACTAAAATGTCCCCCTTGGCCTGGTGAGCATTTTCGTATACTTTAGAGGCCTGTAGAGTAAAAGGTAGGCGAGCTACAGTAGTCGGCTGTCGGCTGGGGAGTGCTTGGCTGGTGATTGGTTTTTTTCAGAATTGGCAACCCGACACGCAATACAGTGCCCAGCCCTTCGCCGTTGGCACCGAGTTCGAGCTGAAGGTCACGTGGGTTTTGGCCAAAAATTGAGAACACCGTTCGACTGGACGAATAGCCTTCGACTGGCAAGCTCAGGACCCTGAAAAACCTCCAAAAACCGACCGTCCAACCCGGTCTATAAGGCTCAAATGGAAGGTTTTATGCAAATCCGACATGTTAAAGTTGAATCAGCGGTACTGATCATCTTCACGACTGGACTGGACCTTAAAGGTACACCAAAGTCTCGTTGCTTTGGTTACCGGCCGGTAACCGTCCGCGGGATAGCAAACAGGGTTACGGTAGGCGCTCGCCGCGGAGCAAAACTGAACCCGGGCCGCTCACCTGGGGCAAGCGCCACAGACCAATAGGTCAAGGGAGAGACGAGAGAGGGGAAGGGGAGAGCGGCTATGAAGGGTCAAGGCGAGATTTCCCAACCCCTGCAAAAAAATGTTTGAACGAGATTTGCGTGTACCTTTAATTATGCTCTCCTTAAATCCGAGAAAAGACTCATTTGGCCGACTGGGTGTCACCAGCTACACGTAGCAACAAAATACGCACGCAGAAACAGCTTGATTAGTTAGAATTGTTGCGCTATCATCAGTTCGCTTGTTATTTATTCTTATTCACTTCATCTGCAGTATTGACTGTCTGACGTGGTCTACATTTAAACGTCAACTTTGTTATTTTCTATCACCAATTTATTCTTTTTGAGAATCCTGAGTGCAACGTCCATAAAAACCGAATACGGCAAAAAGTCGATGTGGCCGGGGACCATTTGGACGATGAAGGGCGCGCCGACATCTATGGATGCTGTAAAGATTTTTGAGGTAATTGAGAGAAACAAAACCTCCATTACTGTGTTTTCAGTGCTACGGTGACATCTACAACGTGTCGTTCACCGGTGACGCGTTTGGCGGGAAAGTTGTGAGCCTTTTCTGGAATTAAAGATTTTAAGGGTTCTGTTCCGGGCCTATCAACTACTACTATCAATCCGTGGCTTCACTGATCCTTTAAATATTAAGATATTTAATATCGCAATTTTATTAGATTTTAGGTAATGTAGTTGTTCATTTTTTAGTCTACAAACTATCTGTCTGGTTGCCCATCATATGATTCGTACAAAGAAGCAGATAGGCATCACGAGAATAACGGCCGTTATAAGCATTCTGATCGTGCTTCTGACGAAAGGTAGCAATATGTTTAACGATACCTATGAAAACCTTATCTTTAGCGTCTCCTCCGAACGGCCGGATGACAAGGGAAAAAAATCAACTGGAAAGAAACCGGCTAACTCCGACTCTGAATCTGGAAAGTGCAATGGAAAAGGGCTGACGAAGAGTGAAATGGAACAGCTGGCTAGGCTGCTTGCCAAAAATCTTCAAGTCGATGTCAACGTCAATCAAACTGTGATCCAGGGAGCTGCAGCCCCTTCAGGAGCAGCGCCACTTCCTCCACTTCCCAAAACCCCTAAACCCGTCGATTACTGAAAGCATTTTGATAAATTTGTTCAAAATATGGTGATGGATTCAGACATGGAACAAAAGTTATCCAAGGTCATGCCAAAAAAACCGATGGGTCAAAGAGTGGAAGCTAAGGAGATGAGAGAGACAGAGATGGAGAGAGTGAGAGATAGAGGCGTAGCGTGAGAGCGAAGCGAGAGCAAGAAAGCGAGAGACAATTTAGAGAACGAAAGACAAAGAGAGAGAGAGAGAGGCGGAGATAGCGAGAGAAAGCGGGACAGCGACAGACAAAGAGAAAACGAGAGGCAACGTGAGGGAGAGAGAGAGAGAGAGAGCGCAAGCGAGATAGCGAAAACGATATTTCAAGAGACGAGCTACCGTAAATTCCGGACTGCCAAATCACATGCAAGATCTGGCACACGTTTCTCACAATTTCCGGGGGGCAAATAATTTATAGCAGGCCGGTTTCCCAGCTACAACAAAGTTCAATGCAAGCAGCTATAAATAAGATCAACTTTCAATGACGAGCACTTCAAGTCCAAAGCCAGGATGTGGTTATGGATATTAGCTGTGATTTTCGTCGTCTCACACGCCCAAGATCCAGTGCCAACAGCGCCAAGTAAGTTTCACGGTCTGGCAAGCCAAAGCTTATGCCTAAGTGCAACCCAAGCGTGTCTAGCTTAAATTTAAGTCTACTCCTAAAAAGTGATCAGTGGTTTGCAGGCTTTTATCATACTCTTGACTTATTTTAGTTTTTCAACGATGCCTGCGTCGACCGATGCGTATTGGTGATACCTTCACCGCCCGTGGAAACCTGATGCCAAATTTGCAAAGGTAGAAAAAGTACATTCCAATCCAAACAACTCCAGATGGACGTGCGATCTGGAGACGCAATTCGCGAAAAACGTCTTTGCCCATATGGATCATCGACTTTGGGGTGCACCACTGATTGTGTATACCCAGAGGCCAGGGCTTGGGGTTTGTATCTTTTTTTACTGGTGGTTTTGGGAAGGAGTCAGAGCTTAAGCTCGAGCGTTTTTGATGAGCTACAGCATACCAAATGATAGCTTGCCAAGTCATAACCTCGTATTTTTTCCAGGCCTTCCAACCCGAGAACACGTATGGCGCCAAGCCCTTCCTGCCCGGAACCACGTTTGAACTGACCGTCACGTAAGCTTTTTTATTGCTACGGTTCAGTTTACCCCCCCGCCCCCACCCCCAGGTGTTTCTAACTCAAATATTTTCATTTTTGGATGTTTTTCGATTCAGACGTACTGTAGGCTGATTCAACAGAACAAGAGCTACATTTTGGTACAATTGACAGCTCTGTAGGACTAAATATACCCGAGATACGAAAACACACTTCCAAGCTGCAAAGACTAACTAAAGAAAACCCAGTTTTATAATTGCGGTAAGACTCTACTTTACCACCCAGTCCTGGGGGAGAGGGCGCAGGCGAAAAAGGACCCTGGGGGGGGGGGGGGTAAAGTAGAGTCTAGCCATAATTGCTATAAAAAATTTTCTAACGATTTTTGGTGTAAGAGGCTGAAAAGTTCTGGCGGGGGGGGGGAGTTATACTGAACTCTTAACCGAGGCAAGGAAGGGCAAAACCGACCAGCCGGCCCGATGCACAAGCGCGATTGGGGTTATTGATGCAAATCGCGCATGGAAAGATCAGACAGTTGACTTAAAAGAAAAGCCCAACCTTCACTAGGGAATGGTCTCCACTCGACATCGAATTTCTTGTTGCAAGTTAGCTCATTTTGTAGATCTCGACGAGACGAATCGATTGATGTAACTTTTAGCTGCGGATACCTTATTTTAACAAAGTTACAGCCCTTTAAAGTTTTTGACCTACCTTCATAAGCCCTCCCCGCATCCCCTCCACCGTGGCCTGGTGGCCTAGTGGCGTAGTAGTCGGCCTCTGGGGAATCTAACGAGGGTTCGAAGCCGCTCACGATTTTTATTTTTTTTGCTTTTTGGTCCAAACGTTCCTTTTTGCATTCTCAGGACCTAGACAAACTCTTTTTTGATTCTTTAACCTCCGTGAAGGTTTTAGAAGGAAAAACGCATCGGAAAAACTTTACAATTTTTTTTGCCCGAAGGAGTGGTCATGCTCCCCAAAAAAATTAATAAAATTTGAAATTTTGTATATTTTATTCCCTAGTAAATACTAACGCACCCCGGCTAATACAAGGTATTTGAATGTTGCAAATAACTAATTTGCCAAGGTATGGGAATGATGGGGTTGTGTCCGCCCCAAAACTTTCCGATGCACTTTTTATCGTTTAAAACCTTCACGGAGGTTAAAGAATCAAAAAAGAGTTTGTCTAGGTCCTGAGAATGCAAAAAGGAACGTTTGGACCAAAAAGCAAAAAATAAAAATCGTGAGCGGCTTCGAACCCTCGTTAGATTCCCCAGAGGCCGACTACTACGCCACTAGGCCACCAGGCCACGGTGGAGGGGATGCGGGGAGGGCTTATGAAGGTAGGTCAAAAACTTTAAAGGGCTGTAACTTTGTTAAAATAAGGTATCCGCAGCTAAAAGTTACATCAATCGATTCGTCTCGTCGAGATCTACAAAATGAGCTAACTTGCAACAAGAAATTCGATGTCGAGTGGAGACCATTCCCTAGTCAGGCCCAACGCGGGTAATGAACGCAATAGTAATCAAACCGGTTGATTAGGCTGTTGCTGAACTATTTGCTTTGTTTTCTCTATTTTTGGAACTGTGATCTGTTCAGAATCTTGAGCCCAACCATGATGAAAACTGACTACGGTAAGAAGGCGTTATGGCCGGGGACAACCTGGACGATGCAGGGCTCCCCGACGTCTATGGATGCGGTCAAGATTTTTGAGGTATTTGGGAACATTAAAGCTTACTATTGTGGTTTTTAGTGCTACGGCGACATCTACAACGTGTCGCTCACCGGAGATGCGTTGGCTGGGAAAGTTGTAAGCTTTACGTGTTTTTTAACAGCGTCCGGTGATTTTCGCATTCCCTTTTGTAACTTAAAAGGCTTTATAAAAATGAGATTAAGGTTGAAGCATCTAACGTCTAAAAATATCTATTCTGGGAGCATTTTAATCCAAAAAAAAATATTTAGTCGACAAACTACCTATCTGGATGCCCTCCATATGACTCCTACCATGATGACGACAAGCATCGCGATAAAACCCGAGGCCACCGACATTCCGATTGGGATTCGGATGAAAGGTATAGGAACTTTGTTAAAACTCATCTAAAAACGACTCCCTACTTTCTAGCCACTCCTCCGAATGGCCAAAAGACAAACGCAAAAAGTCCGATGGAAAGAAAACATCAAACTCGAATTCTAACTCTGGAAAAAGCAACGGAAAGGGGCTGACGAAGAGTGAAATGGAAGAGTTGGCTAGGCTGCTCGCCAAAAATCTGCAAGTTGACGTCAACGTCAATCAGACTGTCATCCAGGGAGGTCGGCTCCTCCAGGCCCACTTCCTCCACTGCCGCCACCGCCTAAGCCCGACGATTATTGAGGGGGTTTTGATAAAAATGTGTGATAATATCGTCGACAAGGCAAAGACAAAGGCAAAAAATCAATGTTTAAAAATATTGCAATTGAAATGATTGAATAACGAGCAAGAAAACTATAAATGAAAAGAATTGGCCGAGCAAGGAAGAGGCCAGATTGGCGTATCGGATTACGCGGGTTCGACTACAAATGATTACTCCGGACACCCTTATTTTGTGCGCAAGTGTTGTAGGCGCAACAAAGAGCCTTCGCCACATTTTGCAATCCTGACGAAACTACATTACAATGAAACATTATCATTCGAAATCTTACAATTCAGCACCACTGCCAGGCTCCACTTTCCTCTATTTTGCTTTTTAAAACGTTTCCCGGGCACCTCCAGGCCATTGTCGGCGGCATTTTGAAAGCTAACAAACTTCTAGGAATTACATCTATAAAACCGCAAAAACGAAGTCAGTTTTTTGCTGTTTTTGCCACTACCATACACCTTTCTCCTTCCGTTCCGATTTTTATTGCTGGCCCGCCAGCTTGTCGGTCCGTTCCCGAACATAACAGGTGGCCGCGGCTCGTAAATGGTTAAATAAGGCGTCCGTTTTATGCTCTGGCGCCTCAAAAGAAATCCGTTTCAAGCATCATGGGCCCTGAAGAAGAATGCTCGGAAAAAGCTAGTGTGAATGGAAAATTTAGCAGGTGCTTTTCACAGGTAAAGCAGCTGTAACGGCGCAGTTGCTTCAGAAGCGAACATAAAAAAAACGAAAAATAGGTCAAGGAAAGGTCTACAACGGCTTTTGAATATTAACAACATTTATTTCAAACTAATTGGGTGGCTCGAGCACGGGCAGTGGGATGAATTGAGGTTCGGCTTGTAATTGCGGCTTCAGTGGTTGTGGGTGTATCCGTGGCTGTGGTTGTCCGGCCGGCTGTCCGCCCATCGGCATTGGCATCCCACCGAACCCGCCCTGCATCAGGAATTGGCTCAAATCGATGGTAATGTCCAGATCGTCGAGTGAGAGGCCCTTCTTGCCGTTTTTGCCCTTGCCAGAACCGCCGGATCCGGATCCGCGTCCACCGTTTCCGCGCCCACCTTTTGAAAGGTCTGGCCAGCCACTGAAAGATGATTTTAGCCGTGAGACTGTAGGCACAGCCGACCCCAATTTTTGTATCTCGGCATCTCTCTATAGGTGTGTAAAGTATTCAAACATGTTCGTCGAGGCCTGGCAAGTATTTTGGTATACTTTACGCCCCCTATATCGACGCACGAAGCCGAGATTCTAGTGTTCCAGTTTGTTGCAGCGGCGTTGCGTATGCGTTGCGTGCTCCTCAGGCTGCGGCTACGTTACACTTGAGTTTGGGTTGCGCCAAAGTTTCATTGCGTTGCGGTACGGTTACGCTGCGGCTGCGCTACTTACAGAACGCGTATGAGTGGAGAGTTTGCTGCGATGCTGATACGTTGGGTTTCCGGATTCCCAGCGTTGCGGTTGCGTCGTGGCGCGCATCCTCGTGTGAATCTTATCGTACGTCACGTGCGCCATATTAGGTCTTGCAAATTTAATATTTTCTGCGTACCCATAAACGTCAGGTAATTTTAGCCCAGAGTCGGCCGCACCGCCACGCAACGCGCTGCCTTTTTCGAAACATACCCATCATCATCCCGGTCCCTTGACCTCGAATCCGAGCCATGCCGATGTCTGTGCTCATGGCTATGGCTATGGCTATGGCTGTGCTTATGAGGGGCTGGCGGGGGAGGTGGTGGGGGAGGCGGTGGAGCGGAGGCGGTGGCGGCGGTGGCGGAGGTGGTGGAGGGCGAGGCCTTTGCTTTCTACCACCTCCTCGCTGCACCGGACGACTTTCCTCCCTTTCTGAGCCGAACGGCGGGCACTCTGCTTGCCAGTCGTGGATCTGAAGGGAGTATCGTTCAGACTATGTTACTATACGCTACGCATACACCTCCTTACGCTTCGATCCTGAAGCAAAAAAATACTCAGAATTGAGAACAAAAGTATAATATTGACCTATAAACTTACCACTTCATTGGCCAATGATTCCCCGTTCAGCGTCACACCTGTCAGACCGCCATTGCACTAAAAAATAGTCCACGTGCTTTGGTAATACCAAACCTGAAAGTATCTAGCCGCCCCGATGGGTGTCTGCCGTCCCTTAACGTCGAAGGTGGTACCCGGCCATTTGTTATCGCCACCGTAGGATACTTGGATCCGTGATTGCGAGATTACTCTATAAGCATTTTAGTAAGGTTTTTTGATACGATAACCGCATTCAAATAACAACAAACGTGAAAAAACCTACCGAATCGTAATTTCGAAATTGGCTCCCGGGGTGAAAGGCAAAATATTAAATGTGTGCGGTGGTTCCCAGGCCTAAAAATTTTATATTGAATAACTGCGGATAGTTTGTTAAAGTAGACCTGTGTCCCGAGACGATGTGAATAGGTGATAAGTGGAGCAGCTCCCTTGTAGTTACGATGATCATAATGCCCAAAAACTTCGTTCGACCAGCCCACTTCTAGGGCGCAGGTCCACCTAAAAAAATTTATTTTGCAAACCAGTGCCCAAAACCCGCTTCGCGGGCCTTTGAGTGAGTTCGCGGGACGAGTTTGCCGCCATGTCTCAGCTTTCGAAATAGCCTAGATACGTCTCTTCAAATTGCAAAAATCGTTTTATTGGCGATTGATTACTAGCTGCACGCGACCGTAAATGAATTAGCGATATACCTTGTCATCCGGGGCCCAATCTTGCCTCGAGCCGTGAAGACGTCACCCGCACGCATCGGACGTTTCAGGCAGCGTCGCCAATCTGGAATATTTTTTAGTATACGCCGTTGGGAAGGAAGCTCGCGTTCTCCTGTGCATTTGACCGCGAAGCGGTCGCGTCGCGTTTCTGGTCCGGTCGCGGTTTTGAATGCCGGTACCTCTTTAAAGGGACGGTAGCAATGGCTATGGATTTCATGATCCTTGGGGATGCCTACGCCACGCAACGGCCGCGGCGGCCACAATTGGTATTTCGTCAAGAAAGGAAAAGTGTGTAGCGCGAGTCGGGCTCGACAAAATGATAGGAAATCTTTAGTCAGACTAGACTTAAAACCTTAAAAGCCATATAAGGTGAAAAACTTTATGTCTACGATTTTAGCAAAGTTCCTATTCACATTCTTGTTAAACCACCCGGGTAAAAAAACCCACACATGCCCGGACCCGGACCACCCCATACCACGTCCAACAAAGCAAGTAGAAATAACAGAAATTCCCGCATTAGTGACGTGTCGCCACGAAAAGTAGTCTCCGCTCGTGGCGGTCGTATAAATACGGTCGACACCATAAACCGTGGGATCCGGGTGCCGACTAGCGTGCGTAGTTTCGCGTAAATAACTACAGACACTCCATCAAAGATCTGAAAAACAGATCCACAGCATCAAACGTCAAAACATGAATTAAAACATGGGAAGCTCTGCATCGAAAAGGCATTTTAAGAATACCGTGAATTGCTGCAGAAAGATTTTTAGCTTGGATTGGGGGGATTCCTTTAACAAGAAAAAATTTATCAAGACCAATATAGCGGCTTCAAGCCCGGAATATTGGAAAATTGAGGTTGAGGTTGTGGTGCGGCTCCTTGCATCACGAATTGCCCCATGTCGATATTGATATCCAAATCGTCCAAAGACAGCCCGCCCTTCTTCCCATTGTTTCCTCTGCTGGAACCATCGGATCCGCCTCCGCGTCGGTTATTCCTAGAGTCTGGCCAGTCCCTGAAAATATTTTGTTGCTTGGTAGTGACATGGTGTTGATGTATTTAAAGTGTGTGCTATGGTTCAGTACAAAAAGGCGGTCAGCCAACCGCAACGCGCACGCGACGCGACGCAACCGGAACGAGCCTGCGAAGCCTCGAGGCCAAAACGCGACGCGCCGTGATGTTACCGCAGCGGCCCGCGACGCAACCTCAAAGCACGGGCAAATTCCCCGAACTTCGGCCGTGACGTAACCGGAGTGCGCCCACAACGTAAGAGAAATGTTGCAGCAACGCGCCCTTTACGCATCATCAACCTGTCCACAAAGCGCCCGCAGCGCAGCCGAAAAGCTGACACGACGCAACCGCAATGCAAGCACGATGCAGCCGTAATCACTCATCCGCATCGCGCAACCAGCGCCCGTAACGCATCCGCAACGCAAGCCTTCTCTTAAGACTACCCGACGATCGACCGCGCACTGTCACCCCGAGGGTGCGCCGAGAACGGTATAGAGATGCGTCATTAGTGGTGGCCTGTCCTGGCCAAAGGCCCTACTGGGATTTGGGGCGGGTCTGACTCGTTCCCCACTTGGCCCTGAGGTGTAGTGGCTAGCGCGTCGGACGTGGAGGAACCATCGCGGGTGGAGGACGCGGTGGAGGAGGTGGCGGTGGCTTCGTGTCTGAGCCGAATGCCGGGCAAACGGCCAGCCAATCGTGGATCTGAAAAGGACTCCTACACGGAGAAGTTCAGCTTGGAGTTCAGGAACCTAGGCATAGGTTCAAGTTTGAGTGTATGCTTAGGCTTAGGCTTAGGCGCGCTTGTCCATGGTTAGGTTTAGCCAGGGCGAAATCCATTAGTCATAAAACCATTAGTCATAACCCATGCATAAAACCATTAGCATACCCATGCATAACCAAGCCACCATTCATAAACTCCATAGTCATAACCCATTTCATTGCAACCCATTAGTCATAAATTCCATTAGTCATAAACCCATTAGTCATAAATTCCATTAGTCATAAACCCATTAGTCATAAATTCCATTAGTCATAAATTCAATAGTCATAAATTTTATTAACCGTAGATTTTGAGGTTTGAGTGTTGAGTTTTGAGTTTTGAGTTTCGAGGTTTGAGGTTAGAGGTTTTGAGGTGTATGTGATGGTCCTTGTCGTGTTCTCGAATCAAACTCCTTGGTTGCACGTGATCGGATATCATTAAACCTATTAATTTTGGATTTGTTAACGGGATTATATCAGAGAATAACATTTCCAAGCAATCAGTTTCATAACATTTATGACTAATGGAATTTATGACTAATGGATTTATGACTAATGGAATTTATGACTATTGGATTTATGACTAATGGGTTTATGACTAATGGAATTTATGACTAATGGGTTTATGACGAATGGAATTTATGACTAATGGGTTTATGACTAGGAATTATGACTAATGGGTTTATGACTAATGGAATTATGACTAATGGTTTATGACTATGGTTTTATGACTAATGGGTTTATGACTAATGGTTTTATGACTATTGATTTATGACCACGGTTTATGACTAATGGAATTTATGACTAATGGTTTATGACTAATGGAATTTATGACAATGGGTTTAGACTAATGGAATTTATGACTAATGGGTTTATGACTAATGGTTTTATGACTAATGGGGCGAAATCGTTTAGCCATAGGCTTAGTCTTAAGCTCAGGCTTAGACTTAGACATGGGCGTGGGCTTAAGTTCAGCTTGGCTTACGTCATTCCTAGCCAAATTTTGACCTACCACATTATCAGCCAATGCATCGCCGCTCAGCGTCACAGAGTTGATACCGCCATTGCACTGAAAGAGATTCAACGATGCCTTGAAAACAACCAAACCTGAAAGTACCTAACCGACCCAATCGGTGTCTGCCTTCCCTTGATGTCAAGGTGGCCCCAGGCCATCTGTTGTTACCACCGTAGGTGACTTGGACTCGTGACTGCGAGATGATGCTGTAAGGAATCGAAATTACCAGCCAACGTACGGAAGATCCTAATCTCTTAAACAATCTCATAAAAATACCCACCGGATCGTGATGACGAAATTGGTTCCCGGAAGAAACGGCAAGACGTTAAATGTGTTTGGTGGCTCCCAAGCCTAAATTATCGAGTTGGAATCGAGATCTGGCAATATGAACGTTATTATTTGTTGAGTTCAGGCTAGGTCGCCGCATGATCTGAATTCAAACTTTACCTGGGTCCCGAGACGATGAGAGTAGGTGATCAGCGGCGCTTGTCCCTTGTAGTTGCGGTGGTCAAAGTGGCCAAAGACCTGATTCGACCAGGCGACTTCTAGGCCGCAGGTCCATCTGAAAAATCTGATTTGCGATTTTAAGGGCATAGCGACGAAGGGGGAAGGCCTCCCATCAGTTTCCCCTATCGGGCGAAGCTAAATTCTTCTTCTGGGAAATGCTGAATAAGCAATGGTGTGCTTTAAAAGGGTTTTAAGTAAGGTATATGTTATATTTCAAATGGGAGGCAGCACTAACAGAAAACCCCTTTGAATGTCGAAAAATCGGAGCATTTGTCTACTAAAAAATTTACCATTTTCTTTTTAAGAAATGGTAACTTTTTATGTTTAAGCTTCTACTTTCAGAAGGCTACCAGAAGTTTTAGAAACATTACATGAAATACGGTACCTTGTCATTTGTGGCCCGATTTTCCCGCGTGCCGTGAAGACGTCACCGGCTCGCATTGGTCGCTTCAGGCATCGTCGCCAATCTAAAAAAGTTACGAGGAGGCCTAAGCCTCAAAATCAATATATTTAAAGTATCCCGACTACAAAATCTGATCCTAAAAAATTCGAGCCACCGCTAAATGGGAAAGTTCTAACGCAAAACTCACACATCCCGGGACCCGGTCCACCGGAAACCACATCAACTAACGCGATGAGAAGGGCTATCCATGCCCAGGTACGTGATGACATTCGTCACAAAATGTGTCGATCACTTGAACCGATCTTATAAACCCGACGCCGCTCGTAAACCCTAAATAAAACGTGAGATTCTGCGGCGAAGTTGCGTAGTTTCGCGCGCAGATTCCGGCGATCGTCTCGCGGCAGCTGAGGTACAGAAATCAGGCATCAAACACCAATGCATAAATCGTAAAACGTTGCGTCTCTCTAAAAAGCATGAAAGCTTTTCAGACGTGAATTTAATTCATTGAATGCTTTATGGTCAGCGACAGACTGCCAGATCTACCATAAATATGCGAGGAGATTGCGCGGTGTTTGACCCTATCCCACCCAGAACCTTTGTCTGTCCCCAATTTGCATAAGTTCTTCCAAATCCCGTTAGCAAAAAACTCAAAACCACGTGCTCCGACCGTTTCATAGGCAAAATCAACTTCCGGTAATAGTTTTCTTGCAAAGTGTGGATTTCCACAAAAACCTAACGTTATCAGATCGAAAAAAAAAAAATAAAAGGTGTCGAAAACAGATCGGAAATCTAATGTAATGATCTCGAGACCGACAAGACCTACCAAAAACCGCCTTAACTTAAGTTTCTATCGGAATATCCTGCGGAGAAGTTTCAGGTAAATCCGCACTGACACAACCGCTACTTTCTTTATTCATTAAAGCTTCGATTTTAAGAGATGGGATTACCGCTCTCCATCAATCTCATCGAAACAGGCTAAAGACTGCCTATTTCACAGACAAGCAGATTCCAAGATAGACAAGGGTATTGAAATGACCCAGAAAGCCGTCATGCGCCTAATGGAAAAATTTAGCTAGTTGGTGAGCTAATTTCCATCATTTTTCTATTTAATTGACGGGCATTTTTCAGCGCTGTATTACGATAATTCAAAAATCGTTTGTCAACAACATTTATTAGAAACGAACAATTCGGCACAAGTTTACTTTTTGCCAAACCAGGACGGCATCTGGAAGGAGGGGATTTGCATTTGTGGTGCTGGAGCCATCGGAGCGCCATCGACGATGAATTGGCCGACGTTGATGTCGAGGTCCAGGTCGTCCAGCGACAGACCGCTGCTTCCGCCTCGGCCTCTGCCATTACCATTGCCATTGCCGTTTCTGTTTCGACCACCGTTTCGTCCACGATTTCCATTGCCGTGTCCTCTATCTCTTCCATCATCCGATGGCCAGCTCCTGGAAATTTGGCTTGTAGATCGTTTTGAAAGGAAAAGGCAGCCAGGGAGCAAAACTATGGGATCTGTTGTTTCGACCAAACTGCTTTCACTCAAAGGTAAGCAAGATTTGGGCTGCTGCAGGCACATGCGTATCTTGGAGCCTCCGTAGCCGCGGATACCCAGCCTACGACAGGTGTTGGCTCGGGCGCGTTCTGGCCCCTTTAAAACCCGGCTGAACATCTACATCAAAGCCATTCAAACTTACTTGTCCTCATCAGAACCATGGCTATGACCGTGACTATGGCCGTGGTCGTGGCTGTCGTCATGGCTATGACCATGGCTATGCGGTCGCTTCGTCGGTTTCTTCGTCGGAGCCTTCGTCGTCGGCTTTGGTGTCGGAGGATGCTCATCCTCATCGTCATCATTGTACGAAGCGAACGATGGGCATGGCGCGTCCCATTGACGGACCTAAACACACGTTTAGAGCCTGGGAAAATGCGGAAAATCGAGCTCTACCACTTTTACGACCTACCACATTTTTGGCCAACGGTGTGCCAGTGATCGTCACGTTTTGAATCTCACCGCAGCACTAATAAAAAGTTGATAAAAATTCAAGTGAAGTCAACCTGGAAAAGCTTGACAGACGAGAGGGGAGTGGATTGTCCCTTGATATCAATCGTCGCTCCACCCCAGCGTGCATCTTTCCCAGAGTACTGGATTTGGACTCGGGTCGGGGTGATGAGTCTGTAGAGTAATTTTCAAGGTATCCAAAGCAGTCTACCGGATCGTGATCTCAAATTCGGCTCCCGGCGCGAAGGGGAGTTTGTGGTATTGATAGCCGGGCTGCCAGGGCTTCTGAAAATCGGGTTTTGACCGGAAATTTTTTCTGACGTGACCTATTACGCTGAAAACAGCTAAGGCGCTTGGAGTCTTTAAGGTGGCTCCTACCTGCCTCCCGAGCCGATGCGCATATGTGACCACCCGGAATGGATGTATTCCGGAAGTTCCGGTGGTCAAATGACCAAACACGTCGGTGACATAGCTAGCTTCTAGACCGCACGTCCATCTGGAGACAGCGACCTTGATTCTTTTGACAAAAGCTATACCTCTGCATGCGGTCCTGAATTTTGCCCTTGGCGGTGAAGACGTCACCGGCTTGTAGCGGACGCCTTAGACAGTGCCGCCAGTAGACTGGAAAAAAATCAGGAAATCTTTCTCTTAGTCGTTTACTGTCTCTCCTCTCGCTCTCTCACTCTTTCTCTCTCTCTCGCTCTCTCACTCTCTCATTCTCACTTTCTCTCTCTCTCTCTCCGTTCTCTCTCTCTCTCGCTCACACATCCTTGAACTGCCACTATGGTTAGTGAATTTCCAGCGTTTCATTCAGTCCAAACTATAACTTCATAGTCCTTCCCGGGACCACCGTATGCCAAACATAGTAATACCCCAAAAAGCGCTAGACGAATCCACATTCAGAGACGATAGTTTCCAAAGTGGGCCTGTTTGCAACTGGCAACATTTGTAGTGCACTCGGCTCTATAAAACCGTGAGAAACTGGCCCGGGAATCGTGAGCTAAACGACGTTCGCATGCTTTATGCTCTAGCGTTGCTAAGTCTCTTTTCGAAAAGCTGCCAATCAAAGTTCGGTGCACCGGCGAGGGGCTAAGCACGTGGCGATACAGGGAGTTTTGCAGAACTGGGCAGGAGTTAGGTCTTTCCTGATACCTTTAAAAGAAGGTTGTCAGAAACGGTTACGTTTTGAAAGGGTTGAAAAGGACTGGGCTCAGTATGAAATTTACAACTCACGCCACAAGCCAAAACGCGCAACGCACACGCAAAGCGCAGATGACCCGCAGCCACGCACACAGGCACCGCTTATGTCACGCACACGCATCGCATCGCAATGCATAAGCAACGCGCACGCAACGCCCCGCAACGCGCCCGCAATGTGCCCGCAACGTGCCCGCAGCGCACGCGCAACGCGCCCAAACCGCGCCAAAACGCGCCGAAAACGCGCCCGTTACGCAGACACACCGCAGACCTTCTATCCGGCCGCTAATTAGTGCATCGCGCGACTCTTTGCGAGCAGGCGTCAGTCGCGTTGCGTGTCGCGGCAAGGGCTCTTTGGAATTTCAGGAAGCACTTTTCTCCCACCTTCTGCATCATATAGGGTGGGGACTTCTAAAACCAGAATAACAGAAGCGTGCCGTTGATTTACGACGCCACCTTCCCCACGAGTTATGGCAAAAATGGGAGTCGTTGGCAGGACGCACCGTATACAATTCATTTGGGCAGGATGTGGTCTCGATTGGACATTTTCTTCTTCGTTTTACTAGGTGTGGAGGCCGACTCAAGCAAGAAGTGTGGGTCTTGATAGACTTTATATGCTTACCATGGAAAATGCAAAATTTATATAGCAAGCTATCTCGAGACCGACAAGACCTGCCAAAAACCGCCTTAACTTAAGTTTCTATCGTAATATCCTGCGGAGAAGTTTCAGGTAAATCCGAAATGGCACAACCGCTACTTTCTATATTCATTAAAGCTTCGATTTTTAGAGATGGGATTACCGCTCTCCATCAATCTCATCGAAACACGCTAAAGACTGCCAATTTCACAGAGAGGCAGATTTCAAGATAGACAAGGGTATTGAAATGACCCAGAAAACCGTCATGCGCCTAATGGAAAAATTTAGCTAGTTGGTGAGCTAATTTCCATCATTTTTCTATTTATTTGACGGGCATTTTTCAGCGCTGTATTACGATAATTGAAAAATCGTTTGTCAACAACATTTATTAAAATCGAACAACTCAGCCTGTTTTTACTTTTTGCCAAACCAGGACGGCATCTGGAAGGAGGGGATTTGCATCTGTGGTGCTGGAGCCATCGGAGCGCCATCGACGATGAATTGGCCGACGTTGATGTCGAGGTCCAGGTCATCCAGTGACAGACCGCTGCCTCCGCCTCGGCCTCTGCCATTACCATTGCCATTGCCGTTTCGGTTTCGACCATCCGTTTCGTCCACGATTTCCATTGCCGCGTCCTCTATCTCTTCCACCATCCGATGGCCAGCTCCTGGAAATTTGGCTTGTAGATCGCGTTTGAAAGGAAAAGGGCAGCCAGGAGCAAAACTATGGGATCTGTTGTTTTGACCAAACAGCTTTCACTCAAAGGTAAGCAAGATTTGGGCTGCTGCAGGTACATGCGTATCTTGGAGCCTCCCATACCCGTCTACGCCTAACCTATCACGTGTGTCAGCTATGGCACTTTCCAACCCCTTTAAAACTCGGCTGAACATCGACATCAAAACCATGCAAACTTACTTATCCTCCTCAGAACCATGGCTATGACCGTGACTATGGCCGTGGTCGTGGCTGTCGTCATGGCTATGACCATGGCTATGCGGTCGCTTTGTCGGTTTCGTCGTCGGAGCCTTCGTCGTCGGCTTTGGTGTCGGAGGATGCTCATCATCATCGTCATCATTGTACGAATCGAACGATGGGCATGGCGCGTCCCATTGACGTACCTCAACACGCGATTAGAGCCTGGGAAAAAGCGGAAAATCGAGCTCTACCACTTTTACGACCTACCACATTTTTGGCCAACGGTGTGCCAGTGATCGTCACGTTTTGAATCTCACCGCAGCACTAATGAAATGTTGATAAAAATTCAAGTGAAGTCAACCTGGAAAAGCTTGACAGACGAGAGGGGAGTGGATTGTCCCTTGATATCAATCGTCGCTCCACCCCAGCGTGCATCTTTCCCAGAGTATTGGATCTGGACTCGGGTCGGGGTGATGACTCTGTAGAGTAATTTGAAGGTATCCAAAGCAGTCTACCGGATCGTGATCTCAAATTCGGCTCCCGGCGCGAAGGGGAGTTTGTGGTATTGATAGCCGGGCTGCCAGGGCTTCTAAAAATCGGGTTTAGACCGAAAATCTTTCCTGACGTGATCTAGTACGCTGAAAACAGCTAAGGCGCTTGGAGTCTTTAAGGTGGCTTTCTACCTGCCTCCCGAGCCGATGCGCATATGTGACCACCGGAATGGATGTATTCCGGAAGTTCCGGTGGTCAAAATGACCAAACACGTCGGTGACATAGCTCGCTTCTAGACCGCACGTCCATCTGGAGACGGCGACTTTGATTCTTTTGACAAAAGCTATACCTCTGCATGCGGTCCTGAATTTTGCCCTTGGCTGTGAAGACGTCACCGGCTTGTAGCGGACGCCTTAGGCAGTGTCGCCAGTAGACTGGAAAAAAATCAGGAAATCTCTCTCTAGCCGTTTATGTCTCTCTCTCGCTCTCTCACTCTCTCTCTTTCTCTCTCTAGCTCCCTCTCTCGCTCTCTCACTCTCCCCCCCCCCCCCCTCTCCTTCTCTCTCTCTGTCTCTCTCTCTCTCTCTCTCTCTCTCTCTCTCGCTGGCTCACGCATCCTTGAACTGCCACTATGGTTAGTGAATTTCAGCGTTTCAATCGGTCCAAGCTATAACTTACAGTCCTTCCCGGGACCACCGTATGTCAAACATAGTAATACCCCAAAAAGCGCTAGACGAATCCACATTCAGAGACGATAGTTGCCAAAGTGGGCCTGTTTGCAACTGGCAACATATGTAGTGCACTCGGCTCTATAAAACCGTGAGAATCTGGCCCGGGAATCGCGAGCTAAACGACGTTCGCATGTTTTATGCTCTAGCGTTGCTGATGTCTTTCCGAAAAGCTGCCAATCAAAGTTCGGTGCACCGGCGAAGGCTAAAACACGTGGAGATACGCGGAGTTTTGCAGAACTGGGCAGGAGTTAGGTTGGCATAGAGTCTTTTCCTGATACCTTTAAAAGAAGTTCTCAGAAACGGTTACGTTTTGAAAGGGTTGAAAAGGATTGGGCTCAGCATGAATTTACAACTCTACGCCACAAGCCAAAAACGCGCAATGCACACGCAAAGCGCAGGTGACCCGCAGCCACGCACAAGCACCGCTTATGTCACGCACACGCATCGCATCGCGATGCATACGCAACCACCACGCAACGTGCCCGCAACGTGCCCGCAACGCACGCGCCAAACCCCGCCGAAAACGCGCCGAAAACGCGCCCAAAAGGCGCCCAAAATGCGCCCGTTACGCAGACACACCGCAGACCCTCTATCCGGCCGCTAATTAGTGCATCGGGGCGACTCTTTGCGAGCAGGCGTCAGTCGCGTTGCGTGTCGCGGCAAGGGGCTCTTTGGAATTTCAGGAAGCACTTTTCTCCCACCTTCTGCATCAAATAGGGTGGGGACTTCCAAAACCAGAATAACAGACACGTGCCGTTGATTTACGACGCCACCTTCCCCACGAGTTATGGCAAAAATGGGAGTCGTTGGCAGGACGGACCGTATACAATTCATTTCGGCAGAATGTGGTCTCAATTGGGCATTTTCTTCTCCGTTTTGCTAGGTGTTGCGGCGGACTCAAGCAAGAAAAAGTGTAGGTCTTGATAGACTTCATCTTCTTTACGCTTGGAAAATGCAAAATTTATATAAAGTGATCTGTCAAGAAATAACCGATTCCATG